TCTTCTTCTTGACTTCTTCCTGTATGCTTCCCCTGCAGGCCAAATAATATATTTTTTCTAATAAATATCTATTCGAATATGAACAAGTAAAAAAAGTCAATGAATTTTGACAGCATCGATCGTGCGTCTCATACAATAGCGAAAAATATACGCTTTATAAAACAAAGGTTATTGAAGCTTTGTCTCTATACACACAATACGCACGCATTGGCCAACCTGTCTCTTAATATATTGAGTCAATTAATTAATTTAATGACGCAAAACTCAATTTGTCAATCAATTTTTAATTTATTAGCTATAATCCAATAAAGTAGAATAGATTTTTGGGAGAATGTCCTTCAAGGCTCCCACAAAGAAAGATAGTAGCACTTAGTGCCTATATATATATATATATATATATATTTTTTTTAAATTTTCTACAAGCCCATGTAATTGATGTGACAATGTGTTTCGATATAAAAAGTCTAAAATACCCTTGATACAAATGCAAGATGTTGTACTATAATTTACAGCTAGGTATTCATATATTAACAATAAGATGTTCAAATTTTAACAAGTAATTTTCTTTCACATCATTTATTGAAAATTCCATGTTAACTTAAAATTAACAAGTAAGAGTTAGATAGTTGGCAACAACACATTCTAATTTAACAAATTGATCTTTGGTTGGATTAAGTTGCGTTTTAAGATAAAATTCTAAGTTACTGTAAAAAATTCACAAGCAGAAGTTTTGCAGTTAACAACAACGTATACTGATTTTAACAATTTAATTTCTGATTGTTATAAGTTGCATTTTATAAAAGAAAATTTCAAGTAACCCTAAAAAAATTAACTAGTTAGGGTTCTACAACTAACAAAAATGTATATGGATTTTTACAAGTCAACATATGGATTTTGAGTAAATGATGACTTGAAAGAAAGTTACTTGTCAAAATTTGAACATTTTCTTGTCAATATATGAATACCTAGTTGTAAATAATAGAACAACATATTGCATTTGTATAGTGTATTTTAAACTATTTTCACTTCCAAATATATTTTCATCCTAGTCCTATTGACTTGTAGAAGAACTTCAAAATTATTTGGGCCCAAATAGTTATTATGTTCTTTACCGAATCATGAAATATGACATTCTCCCTAAATTAATTGGGGTACCTTTCAAGGGCATCAATGAATACAAAAGACAACACTGGGCTCACTTACAAATATATGGCAGGCTACTAAAACGCAATGCAAAAAGAGAAGAGATGAAGATTAGAAGAATTATAGGTTGTATTGTTGCTATTCACAAGCATAGAGAAATCATTAGCTTTTTAATGGTGTGTTGAACTAAAGCTAAAACCTTATCAATCAATCCATGAGCTTTTTTAAGTGTTGTGTGCCACCAAAAAAAATCTTCACAAATGACATTGAAGAACCCTCCAAAAATATTAATTACAATTAAAAAGTTAAATCTATACGAGCGGGAAAGACTCAAGACACTTGAAGAAAATGAAAAGTGAGACCTGAATGAAAAATAAAATTTTATTATTACAAACACAGAATACGATGTTGAATCACTAATTTGTTCATACTTTCTCTTTCATTCTTCAGTAAACCACCCTTATTCCTTTCCTTCTTTCTCTTTCCCTCCTACTTTTACCAATGCCCTCACGGTGCCACATCTCAAACTTTTGAAGTGTGATCGACTGAAGTACAAGAAAACTCATATTCTATAAACCTAAACTGTTAACACATCTAACATATTAATTACAATTTTATCATATAATCATCATTTATATTAAGCAATTGTTGATAGGAACAAAATATTTAAGCTTGCTATAGAAATTTCAACAGAGTCTCTTTCATAAGTTAAACTTTTTGAAATCTCTACAACATGTCAAAAAGAACATCCAAGCAATATTCAAAGTTTTACTCTGATACATACATATATGCAAATCAAAATAATTTAACTAAAGATTCTGCCTATATGATTCATGGAGAGATTCTAGAACAAAAACAAAATTCTAAATATTTACATTAATCCATAATGTCATTGAAGCAACAAAACACTTCTTATATCAAGGAGTCTCACGAGGTCTACTAAAGAGCAAGTCCACTTCTACTATCTGAATACAAAAAATTCTTCTAGTAAATAATACCCCCAAATAACAAATAAATAAATAATGATAATCATAAATACAAAGCAGGAAACAAATTAATGACTAATCTAATTATTTATATTATTATAAACTAATAGTACAATTTATCTTTGATAAATGGGTAACAAAATAGAAAAGAAAAAAATAGAAAATCATAATCAACAAATTAAAAATATATCTTTTGTATAAAACAAATCGTAAAAATATAGTTCTTAAGAGCAAAAATATAACTTGGAAAATTCATTTCCTGTAAGGATCTCAATAGAACGAATAACAAGCATTGCCACACAGTCCATAAGGGTGAGTAACATTCAGAGTGGCTAGAAACCATGAAAAATAAGCACAAGCATGAAGTTCACGAATAACAGAAGTATATTATATTCATGAAATTATATCCTCTCTTCCATGTGTGTTGGCCGACACACAAGGCTAACACCTTTAATATACCCTGTTAGCTAGGTATGTCATGATGTGCCAAAGGTTAACGAAATTATCATTAGCAACCAGTGTTTTGTATTTAGTCCCATAAACCATTTCTGGCATGCATAAAGTCTAAAAGTTCTTTAATTTGTAAGGTATAAATAATCTGCTCATCAGTAATTTATCCGATCCATGCTTGTATAATACTTTTAGGAAAAAAATACCATGAAAATAATTGCATAAATAAATTTAAATAATGAATAAGATATTTATATATTTTAAATCAACTTAATCATAAAAGTAGAATATATGAATTTGTTTAAAATAAGTGAAAATAAATATAAGAGAAAGGCATCACTTTTAATTACTAAGAATCATTATTTACTTACTTAATATATCACCTAGTTCAAAATTCCCTCTTTCCAACTACAATCAAGCTTTCTCTTCTTCTAACCACCCTATCAAACATAATAGAATTTCAATAAACTTCTCATAGCCTTAAATGAACTATTTCCCAAAATTATCACCATTTTTATATTTCAAAGTTTCTCTATTTGCTCTTAGCCACAAATAATTACCTAATAATTTTCAAACACCAATATTTGAATAAATATATTTCATTTCTCACTTACTCATAAAAGCTTTTGGTATTCAAATCCTCTATCACATATTTCATATACAACCAAAAATTCAATGAACTTTCAAAAATCAAGATCAATTTTTTCTAACAAACACTTTGTCAAACACTTTACATGCAATTATTTTGAAACTTAAATCAAACATCTTTTTTTCAAATTTCGTTTTCTTAAATTTTTCTAAAGTCCATATTTAAAGTAATCTAACCTTCCAATTACAAGCATTCAACATAAGCAATTTTTAAACCTGAAGAATATTGAATTTATCCACCTTCATCAAGCACAAAATACTAAAATATTAATTTAAACCAAATTTCTCTTCATCGCTCGTACGTACAAGCACAACAGCACATGGAAGATTAAATTGCCAATAATTAAACATTCAAGCCATACATGCTGAGCAAGAGGGAAGAGGCTTGAAGCTTCCTCACATTAAAACACATGATAGAGATAAGAGGAGAAGGAATCAAATTTTATGGCTGAACAGGGGAGGAATTTCTGGCACGACGCGCGGAACGAAGAGCAGCAAAACAACACCAAAAAGCAGAAGGAATCATGAGCGGCGCCTCAGCTTCAATGATTCAGCTCCCACACTTTAACTCCAACACATCAGCGTCGACGGAACGGAGTGGAGAAAACAGAACAGCGAACGAGGAAGGTGACCCTGTGATGTAAACTGAGAGCCCTGTCACCGGCAATGACATAGTAAGAAGATGGAGGAAAATCAAAGATGGGAAGATCTAAGCTCACTGTCTCTCTCTCTCGGCCGGTCTGGAATTTTCGAGGAATGAAGACAGAATAATTAGAAGGACCTGCCCTGCGTTTTATTCTGTTTTTGTTTGTTTGTTTTTTTTTAACCAGAGGGCATTCTGGTAATTTTGCTCTAGGCTGAAGTAAAATGACAAAAGCATCCACTTAGGGTCTCATAAGAGAGAACCCATGTCTTATTAGAAAGGTGAGCGCATATTCTCCACTAAACCCACTCTTTTTCATAATAGATTTGCATCAAAATAAATAAATAAATTAAAATATCTTACCACCGACTTTAATTTTAATTAAAACCTGGGACGGCGTCTTTCTCTTTTATTCACCTACTACTTTATTGCATTACTTGACTAGCCAAGTGCTCTATTATCGTAGAAGAGTCATGGCCTCCAAGTACAAATCTATGACCAATTAACAATTAATTTAGAATTTTCTTATGTATATAATATAATAAGAATAGATAATAAGCATGTATATGTGATGAAAGGAAACATATTATTTAAAGCTCTTTGTTTATCTTAATCAATCATATTGGTTTAGGCACACAACAGCTTAATTAAACCAATCAAGTTTATTATGACTCAAAATCCTTAGAAAGAAATCTCATAAGAAAAAATGTTTAGGCACGCGTACGACAAGAGCTTCTCTCATAGATCAAATCTTAGAAGAATTTAATAAAATAATAGATCACAGCAGCTAGTAACAAAATTTGAGAAATCTCTTTAGAATTGGAATGATCTACTTCAGTGAGTTTGAATAAACTGTGTCTTCTTTCTAACTTTTTAGTCTGCAAGTCACAAAAGAATTGGTTGTTAGAATAGAAGATTGGTGGCTTCATAACTAACATGTGAACGTATGAAGATAAGATATGTTTGTTACTATAATTAAAACAGAGCAATTCAACTAGTATCCATGATCGCCTATCTTGACATGATTCATTAAAGCACAATATCAGATTAAATTCAACAACACTTGAAAACTCTACTTCAATCATATAACATTTAAAAAGTGGTCAGTTCTAACTAACTAAAAGCATCACCTGATATTTGACAATTTTAAGAAACTTGTGGCCGTTGCTCTGCTTATTGAAAGCCAATAGCTCTCTCTTCTGCACTTAAAAGGCAAAAGGAAAAAAAAAATCCAAGAATAGAAAAAACTGTCAGTCAAATTTTAGCTTTGTGCTTTACAAGTAATTTGTGAATATAAAGGACATATATAATGATTATATAAAATTGCCTTGAAACGGAGATGATAACGTGTTGGTGGTAAAAACCAAATATTGGCTAAAAATCAAAGGTTGGATTCTTAACATATTGGAATTAGTAAATTAAACAATGAGACCCATGTAGACCAAATTAATTTTCTCATTTACCTTGAAAAACTTGGAAGTTGTTTGTGTCGCAGAATCTTCAAGGACAAAGGTGTATCAATAAAAGTCTGCAGAGAATATATTTAAAGGGGAATAGTTAAGAAAACATTCTTAGTTACAAATTTCAATGTGTGTGTGTGAATTTATAGAGGTTCATTATTAGTTTCTTACCAACTCTCAATTTTAGCTCAACATAACACACACATCCATTTTCTGACACACTATCTTATTGATTTTAAGACAATATCTAAGTATATATATATATATATATATATATTATAATATTGCTTTTCATATTGCGGTTCATTTTTTATATATTATAATAAATTAAACAATGAGACTCATGGAGGCCAAATTAATTTTCTCATTTACCTTGAAATACCTGGAAGATCTTTGTATCACAAAATCTTCAATGACAAAGGAATATCAGTAAAAGTCTGCAAACAATATATTTAAAGGAGTATTGTTAAGAAAACATTCTTAGTTACAAATTTCAGATATATATATATATATATATATATGAATTAATAGAGGGTTCATTACTTTCTTACCAACTCTCAATTTTAGCTCATCAACACAACAATACACATCCATTTTCTGACACTATCTTACTGATTTTAAGACACTCTTTTAACATACCAAAATAAGCATCTAAGGATTACAGGTGGGGAATTATTCAATCGAGAGAGATCTCCAGGTAAATTAAAAGTGTGCTAATTGAGTCACTAATCTCAATAAACAAAACTATGTATCTAATACTAAATCTAGATATCATACCTTTGTTGTCCTTATTGTTGCTGAAATAACATAGAAATTGATGAGCAAATTCAATTCAACTACATGACAATTGAGAAAGCTGGATAAGAAAAACATCATAAATCAAATTTTCTACCCAACACATAAAATGAGCATCAAAGGAACACCTTTTGAACACTATCAGGTTGTCTGGCTAAAGCGGAATATATATATATATATATATATATTTCTAGAATTATCATCTTTATGTATATGTTCATTGATCAATTGTTCTGATTAATATTATAGAAACGAGATAAACTAGTGACCCGAACTAGTTTTTTAGCTGCCTTCCTTGCTTCGCATATGACTCTGTTCTTTAAAACAGAGCAATTCTATTGACATCCTCACCTATGTATTTTGACATGAATTATCCAAACAGAATATCAAATTAGATTTGATAACACCATGAACTTTCAATCACAATAATTAAAAAAAGTGGTTTAACTTATTTTTATTATAAGTATTACCTGACATGTGACAGTTTCAATACACTCTTGGCCTTTGCTCTGCTTGTTGAAAGCAATATTAACATTCTGCTTAACGACATTTAGAATAAGTGATCACTGAAAAAGGACAAATATCCAAGAAAAGGGGAAAACATTTTTTCAAACTTTACATTTGTGCTTTATAAGTAATGAATGAAAATAAAACTAAGATATTTTTAATCACTTGAACTTTCATATAATGATTATATTAAATTAAAAACATTGGATTAGTGTATTATTATTCTGAAAAAACCTCAACTAGACCATGACCTTTCCAGGCCAACGAAAAAAAAAGAAAAGAAAAGAAAAAGATAAAAAGATAAAGAAAAGAAATCCTTCGCCTTGAAAATGTGAGAAGAGGTTTGACAGTCTGCAAATGATGCTTATGCTATGACTGAAGAGAGAGTGATAATTATTCGACCATTAACATTTCTTTTACAAATTTAAAACTTACGAATTTATTAACTTTTCATAGATTCTTGTTGCCGTCGGGCATGACAGCCAGTGCCGCCGTGAGGCTGATCATTGATTGGAGCTTCAACTTGTTTCCCTGCAAAACATTATTGGAACCTGAAATGCATCAGTATCAATATCAATATTATTATAATTATCGAGATCCAAACAGATTCGTGGGTTGTTTTACAAAATTTGATCGCCAGTTCATCAAGTGCCAGATAAACAGTGATATGCTATCATGTAAATTAAAGTTTTCATATTTATATACTCGAAGGGAAAATTGTCTGTGTAATAGATCTAATTTTTAAACTCTATATTTGTCATTTTTCATCTGTATCTAATTATTTAATATGAATTCTCTTTGTAAAGAATGCACAGTGACTATTATAATCTATTTCCTCCTGGTTTGGTGTGCCGACAACGCCTAGCATGAGCGACAGATTCTTTGGGAAACATAAACAATAAAAATATGGAAGTCATGAAGTGAAGCTGATAACATTATAAACTGATTTGCTTTACTCTATCTTTTCGTTAGAGTGATGGCAAGATCCGTTGAAGGCACAAGGCATATAATTTGATGTTAGCATTAACGAAAAACTTCACGTGTGGATTACAGGCTGGTGATAATAAGTTATGATGTTAGAATACAATTTACAAGGCTTCTCATCATCCAAGTAGGCAAAAATTATAGAAATGATTTAGAAAATTTTAAAAAAGACTCAAAAAAATTACATAAAAGGACTTTCTAAAAAATTAATATTGATTATGTCTCTTAAATTACAAATAAATTTTATTAGAGTAATTTTATTTCTTACCTATATAAAATATAAAAAATATTATTTTAACCAACCATTTTAATCAACTACCTACCAGTGATTATCAAATCACAAAAGCTTGAAACATCGATAAGTAATTAAAAATATTATATTTGTTTTAATAAAATATTTTTTTAAATATTATTATTTACAAATATTCATTCAAAATTTAGAAATTTTCTTTTAAATATAAATAGTTCAACTAATTTTTCTAAAATTCATAGATGATTTGTAAATTAAAATGGTATGATAAATTATAGGACTTCTTCAAAAATTAATAAGTACTCATTCAGAAATTTGTATAAAAGTTGTCTTGTAAATTGAGTCTGGAGAATTGTAAGTAATAATAATAATATTTAAATTATCCTATATTTAAGTATTAATATTTTAATAAGATGTCATTTAAAAAATTAATATTTTTAATTAATTATTTGTGTTGTTGCCAACAACAATGATCTAATAATCACCTAGCAGTTAGCCAAAAGGATTGGTTTAGATGATATTTTGTTCTTTTATATGGATAAGAAAAAATATTAATTTATTAAAATTTATTTATAATTTAAGGGATTTAATCAATATTTATTTTCTTACAAAGGTCTTTAATTATAAATTTTTTAAATTAATATATATTTAATGAAGAGGCAATATTGTTCATTCAAAAATTGTTTAGAAGACTACAAAATACCTAACACCCTTAAAAAAAAAATTAGCAATAAATTAGTTTTTTAGCTCTAAAATTAATGTCACTTTTACCACCCACAACGCATCACATGACTATCCCATGGTACAGTGTATTCCAAGACAGATCACATGCTGTGATAATGTTCTTTCACTGTTATCATTTCGAACTTTATTATTATATTCAAAAGTTGGTATACAAACCATAAGCTGTTTAAGGACCCATTTATTAGATTCAGATTTTGAAAATGCAAAATTACTTTTGCAGATCATTTGGACAAATATAATTTGGTTAAACTATGCGTATCATGAAATTTCATTTGGAGGAAGTTAAATAATCTAATCCATTAAGCCAACACAAAATATACCAGCTTTTGCATTCGAAAGTAAGAATTGGAGGATTGATGAGAAGGTTAAAAAAATTGGGAGAATTTTAGTAAAAGATCCTTTTAGGGGTTTTATTTCATATCTAGACTAATAGAATTTGAAAATATACTATAAGACCAAATGATTGAATTGAAAATATAACTGATAGAAAATAAGTAAAATGTTTTTCATTTACTTTAAAAAAACTTCCACCTTGCTGGGCCTGACTACCAGTTGCAAGAACATCGTCATGCTGGCGATCGAACCACTGCTGTAGTGGTTGTGTCACACCTTGATACTGAGGGTATGACTGATATAAAATATGAAATAGACTTACACTCCATAAGCCTTAATTAACTAAAAAATTAATTCAAAATAATGATATAATTTACATCTAAATTTAAAATTCATAAATTTTTAACTATTTTATAGAAATTTCGATAGAATCCCTCCTGTAATTAGGATCACCCAAAATTTCTACAATGATAAAACCTATCTATCACGCCCCAAAAATTTAAGGCGTGATCGGCACAGAATATGTGTATAAAACCCATATCTCTTAAGCCTTGAAAAAATATATTTTCATCCATGCAAAACTGTAGGCATATTTTTTTTATATATAAAATGTATTGTCTTTAATTGATTTCATATAAACAAAACAATAAATTTCTTATAAAATTTTTAATAAAACTTTTATGTAAATAAGACTTCCTGAAATGTATGACAAAGAACAATAATAATCAATTAAAAAGATCTCGCTCCCTAGCAACATATATATAATCTTTAAAGAAAGACGAGAATCCTACCTACATTATATGTGGAGCAGTTAGGACCAAGCCATGAAATTAATACAGGGTTCAAATTTACATCAAGCAAAACTTGTTTGAAATAATTCTTTCACTTCACTTTAGTGATAAAATGCCTCAAGTAACACCTTAATATACAAGTTCAACTTATACTACTTGAGGTCAAAAATATATTTTTCAGTGAATAACGTCCCAAGTTTAATATTAAAGGAAATAAAAGAAAGAAACATAAATGGAATAATCAAGAATTTAACTAAAATAGTCATTTAGTATGGCAAAAGTGCATAACTCACACAAAATAATTTCATTTAAACACTTGACTTGAAAGCATGTTCATAGGATGACAACAAAAAAATAAAGTTCCACTTTCCAACTATCACGCTCACTTCAAGCAATTAAAAGTAGCATTGTTTATTATAAAGAAATCCATTCATAAAAACCAACTTATTTAATAGGTTTGGTAAAACATAATGGAAATTTCAAAATTTCTTTTTGCAGGACTTTATTAGAACGAATAACAAGCGTGGACACAAAGTCCATGAGGGTAAATAACCAACAAGCATAGACATACAGTCCACGAGAGTAAGTAACTAACAAGCGTGGCTAAAAGTCAAGAAACAAGCATAGCAGGAGTCACAAAACAAGCACAGCAGGAGCCATGAATCAAGCACAGGCATAAAGCCCATGAAAACAAGCATGAATACAATGATCACAAATTACCATCGCTCCGATCCACGTGCGTTGGCCATCGCACGGGGCCAGCATCTCTTAAACACCCTACTAGTTAGTTGTACGATGGCGCATCAAGGGTTAATGTAACTGTCGTTAGCAACTAGCGTTCTGATTCAATCCCACAACCCAAATCAAATATGCGTTGATATAACATCAACATGATTTTCTCTTACATATAAATTAACACAACAATTGCATTTAAATATTCATTTGAAGAAAATAATCCCAAATATTTTTATAAAATTCATTTACGTAGAAAACATTTCCAAGTTCAATTATCAATAATAAAATTAAAATCATAAACGATTAAGGAATATTAAAAAAAACATTGTATCATTTATTTTTAAGAAATTAAAAGGTTTATATAAATAGAGGATGTGGTATATAAATATGCTCAAGCAATTTTCAATAAAATAAATTTGACAACAAATTATTAGGATGCTATTCACTTACCTGTGGTATTCTTAAATGTTAAAAGTCACCCTTTATAGCTTTAAACGAATCTTCTTTGCCACTTCAACAATGATTTACCTTTTCCAAATCTCCTACTTAACATATAATAGGGCCTTAATGGACTCTCAACAAACTTAATAAAATTTTCTTTCATATTGACAAAAGAAAAATATAACTATAATAAATTTGAAATTCTTAAATCAATCCAATTTATACTTTAAGTCCTTCGATCCTTATAGTACTTTGTGTGTGTGTGTGCGC